AGAAGGCACGCAACCCAAAAAGAAAACCCCCCAAAAAAAAAAAAAAAAAAAGACAAAAAAAAAAAAGGGGTGGGGGAGAAAGGGACCAGCAGTTGGCGCAATGGCTATGTCACTGAACTCCCTAGTCGATCGTGGTTCGAGTCCTGGACCCGGTAGCTTAAACTCACCCCAGGCACGTGTTTGTACATGCCCAAGATCCCGAGTGGAGAATGGGGGAGAAGGGATTGCAGCGTGGCCATCCTTCTGGGGGGAGATTTCTCACTTTCTGTCTTTCTGGCAAGCACACACGCCCCATAGCAAAAACCTCTGGGAAAAAAAAAAGGGGGTAAAAAGAAAAGTTGTGGGAAATAGGGACGGGGGACTTCCTAATTGCGGTTTTTGTCACAATATAGAACTGGTAAGTTACATGTTGCAAAGGAGATCACATTTAAAGAAGGCATTTTACCTAAATTGTGTTTTTTTTTTTGGAGAGGTTTTTGCTATAGGGCGCGTGCGCTTGCCAGACAACAGACAGAGACAGAGAGACAGAAAGCGAGAAATCACCCACCGGGGGGATGGCCACGCTGCAATCCCTTCTCCTCCATTCTCCTCTCGAGATCTTGGGCACGCACGCACACGCGCCCGGCATGAGTTTTAAGCCACTGGGTCTGGGACGCGAACTGCCTCGACTACGTGGGAGTCCAGCGACATAGCCATTACGCCAACTGCTGGTCCCCTAAAGTGTGTTTTTAAAAAATGTACTGGGATCGGGAACCAGCAGTTGGCATAATGGCTATGTCGCTGGACTCCCACGTAGTCGAGGCAGTTCGCGTCCCAGACCCAGTGGCTTAAAACTCATGCCGGGCGCGTGTGCGTGCGTGCCCAAGATCTCGAGAGGAGAATGGAGGAGTAGGGATTGTGGCGCGACCATCCCCCCTGGGGGGTGATTTCTCCCTTTCTGTCTCTATATCTCTCTCTGTCTGGCGAGCACACGCGCCCTATAGCGAAAACCTCTTAAAAAAAAAAAAAAGTACTGGGACCAACAGATGGTGTAATGGTTATGTCGCTGGACTCCCACATAGTCCACTGCGGTTCCAGCCCTGATCTTACGCTTAAAACTCAGGTCTGGTGTATGGGTGTGCATGTCCAAGATCCCAAGAAGAGAATGGAGGAAAAGAGATTATGGTGTGGCCATCCTCCCACCCCCAACCCCAAGGGTGACTTCTTGTTTTCTGTCTCTCTGTTTCTCTTGAGAGCGAACGTGCCCTATAGTAAAAATCTTTCTTAATAAAAGGGTGCCTGCACTTGCAGGAAAGCCAGAGAGACAGAAAGTGAGAAATCACCCCTCAGGGAGGATGACCAGGGCACAATCCCTTTCTCCATTCTTCTCTTTGGACCTTGGGCACACATGCACACATCCCCAGCATGTTTTAAGCCACCAGGTCTGGGACTGGAACCACAGTTGACTACGTGGGAGTTCAGCCAGGTAACCATTATGTCATCTGCTGGTCCCCCTAGTATTATTTTTTATAGGATAATTTCTTTTCAAGAATTATTTCATTTAACTTAATTTATTTATGTATTTATTTATTTATTTTACTTTGACCTGAGAGGGACAGAGTGAGAGAGAGAAGAGAAGAAAGTGAGAAAGCAAGCCACTGGGTCTGGGGTTGGAACCACGGCCAGCCACGTGGGAGTCCAGCGCCCTTATCCACTGCCACCTGTCCCCTAAAGCATGCTCTTTCTTTCTTTCTTTTTGATGCTTTTGCCATAGGGCACATGCATTTGCCAGGGACAGTGAGAAGTCACTCCCCTGGGGCAATGGTGACCCTGCAATCCATTCTGTTTTTGTGATTTTGGGGCACGCACACACTTGTGTAGGCATACTTTTCCAGCCACCACGTTCAGGGCTCGTTCAGGGTTCAAGGCCGTGGCCTTGTGGGAGTCCAAGGCTTTAACCACTATGCCACCTGCTGCTCCCTAAAATGAACTTTTTCTACCAGCTCTATCTTGATTGAGGGAGTTTCCACAGAAACATTTTAATCATGGACCCCTCTTCCCTGCCCCCTCCCTGCCACGCCCTATACTACACTCACTATATTCCGAGGGTAAAGGACACACGGAAGCCGGTCCTCCGGTTCTCTAGGTTCCATCAACTCCAGCCTGATTAGACAGGCTCCAAATTCAAGAATGGGCCTAACTGCTTCAAAGGTAGCAGTGTTCCCAGTTCAGCGACACAGGAAGACCACGCCTTTGAATGTTCTGCAACCTCACCCATTTCAGATTTTTCGGCGGTTCTGGGTAAACTGGCCTCACAGAGGATTATGCCCGTCCTGCTACTATTGTTTTTTAAAAAGCACCGGTGTATGGGCGAGGCCATTAATTTTACGGCATCCTTGTGCTCCTGGAGCAGCTAAGAGCAGGCAGAGTAGCTTTACCGCAGCGCCAACGCCATCCTTACTCGGCCCCTCCCTCAGGCCGCCTCGGAGCCCCGCCCCATCTTCCCTGCCCACCCCCAGCCGGCTCCTCCCCTTTGCTCTTCTTGCCGGCTCCACCACCACCCGTGACCCTATTCCATTCGCCCACCTCGGGCACTTCCCCCCCGCAGTATGAAGCTCCGCCCTACTGGTCGGGTTAGCCAATGAATGCTCTGCGTGTGCCACACCCCGCCTTTGAGCAGGCCCCGCCCCAGCGTCCAGCCCTCCGCCGTCTGCCTCCCTCTCGGGGCGTTGCCTTCGCCGCGCCTCCGCCACCCGCGCGGAGCTAGATGCCGCCCCCTCCGTCCGTCCCTCCCCTGGCGGCCTGGCGCCTCCTTCCC